AAAAAGCCACATCCACAGCTACAAAATGTTCAGCTTGTGCGGCTACGCACCTGAGCTGGCACGTGCTCAGGTGCTTTCGGGATGGACGGATGTGAAGGTGATGCTGGGAAGTGTTTAACTGGGCTTGAGCACTCTGCGTGACCAGTGCTTTGGAGATTTGAGCTTTTAAACTCTTAATAATTTCAACTGGACACATGGAGCCAGCAACTGCTCTTCTAACACACCTGAATGTTGGTGGATATTCACAGGCTCAAACAAAAAAAAAAAAAAAAAAGAGGGGGGAGAAAAAAAAAAAAAAAAAAAAAAAGAGGAGTGAGGAATAAGTAAAAAAAAAAAAAAGTGATGCAATTAACAAAGCAATTTTCCAATAATTTAATTTCTTCGTAGGAGTACCCACTAACAGAAAAGACCACGCACAACACTCAAAAAAATATGGAAGTCATTAATATAAACCAGCTCAGTGTGGTAGGCAACCAGATGAACTGATTTAGAAAGCAACTACTTCACTGAAGCTACTGCAAAAATACCAAGCACGTCAGGGTTCACTGGTGTCCCAACTGTGAGGCACACAAGGCACAACTTCTACAGGCTTTCTGTTTGTTTAACAGCTCATTCAGAGCTCTTTCTCTAATGGACGGGTACACCTTTTAGTGAAACCAGGAGGAAATCCATAGCCTGCTTTTGTTTTGCGCTTCTTGCTTCCTCAAGCTTCTAACATTTCATTCTGACAATCAAGGATCTGATAATATAATTCACATATATGCCTGGGTTACTGTGATTGGAGGGAATCTGTTCCAAACGACTCTGATGTCTCAACATGTTTAGATTAAAGGATTTAATTTACTTCAGAGAGTATACCAGGCAGTGTGCCTGAGATCCACAGCCAAACTAGAGCAAAGTTCAAATATCCAGATCCGAGGCTCTGCATAGAGGCTACAGCCCTGCTTTGCTGGAAGAGCATTTTCCCACGATCGAAGACCGGGTGGATGTTTTCCTAATACTCTGCTGGTGGCTTAAAAAACCCCAAACGTGGAGCCCAGCCAGCTGCAACTGAAGCTCTGCAGAGCCTGCACATACGCTTTATCAACTACTTTGATCATATTAATTGTGAATATGAGAAGGGCAATAAAGTTCAACAAGCTATTTTGGAAAGGATTTCAGCAATGTGCTCAGTAGAATCCAGTCCATAGTTTTTTCTTAGGTCAAATCATAGTGAGAGTACACACAGTCCTTCATTTGTCATATGCTTTGCAATGTCCAGTCACAAGCAGACGCTTTGGCTACAAAATAATACAGACAGTGCCGATAACAAGTTCCTACAGTGAGAGTGCAAAGGGCCCCAGCCCATTAGAAAGCACGAAGAGAAAACATTTGGATAAGACAGCGAAGCTGCTGAAATAATTCTTAACAACTTGAGTGCTAGGATACCACAACCTGAGTGCAAGGAGCAGGCTTCGGGAAGGACTGGCTCTCCTCTCTCCTCTCTTCTCTCTCCTCTCTCCTCTCTGCCCTGTGGGGTTGCGGTAGTGGCCGTCAGGGAAGACCACAGGCAGGGCTGATGGTGTCACACACCTCACCTCTACACAGAGCCCGCACCAGCCTGCGTCCCGGGAATGAAGTGAAGCACAAGAGGTCCAAGTGGCCCTGGAGACCTCTGGAGTTCCTGAGATCACACTTGCAAGGGTCTGATGTGTGAGAGCACACAACGTGGATGAACAAAGGGTCCCACAGTAAGCCTGGTCTTACGTATGTACTTCTTTGACAGGCACATGGGGCTGGCACATAGGCACCTGTGCCAGAGGGACTCATGCAGTGCCTATATCCCAGGCCGTTCGTACAGGTTGTGTGGCCTTGAGCTGGAGATGGTGGCTACCTGCAGCATTTCTCACCAGCTGCCGTGTGATGCCACCACCTCTCTCCTGCTCTGGAGTCCCAGGCACTGGAGCAGTTCCTGAGCAGACCAGACATTTACAGAGGACCCAGAGCGCTGTTACGGGTGAGCTGCAGGTGCCACAGTAAGAGAGCATGAAGTGCAAGTTAGGGGAACATTTTTACACTTAGTGCTTGAGAACTGCATCGTTTATAGGGACTTCTGCAAATAGGTGGAGGTGAGTTATTATATGACTTGTGGGTAGGACTGCATACAGCCAAGCATGCACAAGGTTGGGAGTAGACCACACATCAGTGTCAGGTGGTCAGAAGTGTATGTGGTCCATCAGGCAAATTCAAGAAGGAGTGGGAATCAATACCTTTGAGTACCATTTATATCCCTCTTTGTTTGCCATAAACTTTGAGTAAGGAAAACCATGGGACAAGTACTGTTAAGAAATATAAATAGTCCCTGAGAGGTAAGGTCAGATTTAAACCACATTTGGCCTGCCCTGTCATCACTTTGGGATTCCCTCTCTCTCATGTACCTCATGTGTCCCGGCCAAGACAGTGCTTACAAGGCCCTTCCTTTCTCTGAAATTACATCTGAGCTGACCAGAGGGGTGAGGACACTCTCTTCCTCTCAGGATGTAAACAAATACCGACAGCCCTGCGCTCTGCACGGTGACGCTGATGGATAGATGCTCTGTGGCAGGGCTCCAACACAGCAGTGCCAAGTCTGTGATGCATTTCCCCCTGACACAGGGTACATATAATAAAGCCTCACACTGGGAGAGACGAATCAAGGAAACAGGAGACATAGATCAACATCTCCCTCAAAGTTGCAATGAGTAAGGGAGCAACACCTCGCAGGAGGCAGTAGAGCCAGGAGTTGTGCCTCTTCTGGTTTGTTACTGGCACGTTCTGTGACTGTGTTAAAGTTTGGCGGCTTTTGTTTCCCCAGCTGTAATGTCTATATGGTATACAGAGATCTTTGGAGAGGAGATGCCACAGAAGGCCCAATTTCACAGCATCGTGTTCCCAGAGCTCATGCAGATGGCATAGTGAGATTTTCCTCACAACCATGTTATTGCTCATCAACAGCCTGAGGTTAATTTTTCATTGCGATATTCCTCTTGAGTTCCCAAGCTCTCAATTCCTACACCCCGCACTACAGAAAACACAGAGCCTTCACTTTTGTCAGTGATATCCCTCCACATTTGTAACCTATGGTATAAGCTGGCATCCTTGGGCTGAAATGTGATCCAGAAGACTAGAAGACTTGGATCATTGTTTTGCTGACACCATAGCTCAAACTCAGGAAAAACGTATGTCTTTAGAAAGCACCAAATCTGGTACAAGACTGAACTTTCAGGGAACACCGAATATGAAAGTCACCCAGCTGCATTACTACAGCATTACTACTAAAAAGTGCATCCCATTTGTAAAAAGCTAGTCTAGATCACAGAAATTTAGAAGTAGAATTCACTATAAATAAACCCAAGTTGTCTAGCTTTATCACGCACTATGGATGAAAGGCAAGAAGTGGGATGACTGGCAGTGATGGCCGAAGGGAGCAGTGGCTTGCTCATATTATTTGAATGTTTAATTATGAACATGTTACTAGAAATGCAAAGACTTGTGGGTTTTATGTTGGTATTCTCTCTTCAGGTTTAAGCTGTATTTACCTGTCTGCACTGATTACAGAAAGATAGCCACAAACTGGTGTTTGGATATTTTTTTTTTTAACGGTCGCACAATATCTTCTGTCCTCTCACAATCTCCATTCCAGATACTTTGTAGGCATTAGTTGTGGTATATGTGTTGAAATATGTAGCACAGGCCCAGTATGCTTGGCAACACATGGAAAAGTAATCACATCTGCTGGAACTACAGCAATTTATCTGGTCCTGTCATTCAGCCCCGTAGCACAGTATCTTGCCTTTGCAAGTTACCTGAAAAAGCCACGCTTCCAATAACAGTGGTAAGCACACAGGGATGTTCGATGCCTAAGTCCCATAGCATATTCACAAAAGCAGAGACAGAAGGCATATTTTTGCATCTGGAAAAAACAAACCTGTTTTTGTCACTAGCAATGTTTGTAGGACATGTAAAACTATTGGAATGAAGGGTCAGAGAAATGCTTCATGCAACTAACTGATGTCCTTTGGTATACTACAGAGGATGATTTGTCCCTCACCATGTAAACCCAGTATTCCCTATCTTCCAAAATACATAACTCCTTTTAGTTTACTCCTGCAGAGATGGTACGCACCACTCACCTGAGTTTTTGTCAGGCAGCCGATTTATCCTCCATACGATGGAATTAAAGGCATGCTCGTATTTGGCAGTTCCCAAAGTTACTCTCATTACTGGCTCAGAACCAGACAGACTGGTTGATCCAAAAGTGGCCCCCTTGTTCACCTTGGCTTTCAAAGATTTCTCCCCCAGGACGCTCTCCCTGCGGAAGTTCTTCACCCACTCATTTGGCACTGGGTAGCGGATCATCACATTTTCACAAGGGACCTGAGTTAAAGGGTCGCGGTTGGAAGAGAACCCAGTGGACATCATCAGCCAGCTCTGCACCTCCACCTCAGCACCATTGATGCTGGCAGCTGTCCTCAGGGTAAAAGGCAAAGTCTTCTCAGCAAAGACTGTTCTGAATCGCATCAGTTCAAACCGGCAGGCATCCAAGGGGTTGAAGAGGATAATACGGGAGTTATTAAACACATCCTCATCCACACATGAATGGAAACGACAGCTGTATAATTTAATCCACTTACTGGTAGTAGTGGGCATAATATCCTGCCTTGCAACTATCTCATTCCCTTTGATCAGGATATCATTAAGGCCCAGTCTGCATTCTGCCAGGCCAGAAAGGAAGCTAAGAACATAGATATGGGTCAAAACACTGTGCTGGAGAATCACACCATCTCCTTTGGCCAAGATGCCATGAAACTCATCCCTGACGTCAACCGTGATTTCTTCTTCTTGGTAGTTTAGTCCCACTGTGCTCAGATCTGTTGATGAGGCTGGCAAGTTCATCAGCGTGTCTTGCACAGCACTGATGAAGCTCAGGAAGTCTTCATAATCTGTAGTCCCAAGCTTGATAATTTGCTCTCTCTCTGCTGTGTGAGCAATGGCTGGCTTAGGCTGATACTTCTTTTTCTCCTTGTAGGTTGTGCGGTCCAACCGCACACTGTGTATCCTTCCATTCTCATCATAGTTCTGGAGTTTGCGTTCTGAAATCTCATGATTGATTTCAAGTCTGAATTCCCGGAAAGGCTTCTCCAGTCCTTTCTCATAAAAAAGCTGTATACATCCACTGTCAGTCAGCTTGACGTATATTGGTCCCCAGTGCCTGGATGACATAATATTCTTCTTCTCTGGGATCCTGAGCATCATTGGCCATCCATCCTTTGGCTGAGCTGGAGTCAGGTTAAATAAGGCTGCATCCAGATCATATGGCATCATGGGATCATCATCAGGCAAGGTAGGGCTGCTCACACGATCTGGGTCTCCAATCTGGAGTTGTTTGAGCTGCTCTACAGCATCTGTGTGGGTTACAGTTTTGTTTGCCTCATGGAAACTGATGGTATCAGGCTCTTGATGGAGAATAATGAGAGAGTCTCTTTGGCTTTTGCCTGGAGCACTGGAGACAGAAGAACTTTTGGAACGCCTGTCTCGCTCCTCAAAGAATGAGCTGAATGGATTGATGGGTGAGGGTTGGACATCTCGCAGAGATTCATCTAGGAAGGGATTAGTAGCACTCCATGGTGGTGTTTCAACAGAAGGCAACTTGGTTAAGGAGGAGAGATCTAGTTTTTGAATTTTGGAGAGGTCACCCAATGTGCTTTTAGGACGTTCTCTTTTCTTAAAGGATGTAGTGAGGTTAAAGTTAACGTCTGGAGTCTGTGTATCTGCAGGTGGGGTGTCTGTTTTCAAGGGAGAAAGGTTCTGCGGTGAAAAACCAACGTCGTTGTCATCAAAAGTCACCCAGCTGGGAAAGCGAACTGTAGTTGGGGTAGACGAATGCCCATTCATGGAGGTGTTGTTCAGCTGCCAGTTGACAGCCTCCATATCTACCTCTTCATCTTCCTGGAGAGACGAGGAATTGTCTTTAAAAAAAGAGGGGAGGGGAGGAAATTTCAGCTAATTATTCTGAAGTTACCTAGTTCTCTCCACTAGAAAAAAAAAACACAGTCTGCACAATAGTTTGCATGCTCAGGAAAGGTCTATTCATACGCTGGGAAAGAAAGATAATCAAAAGACTTGGATAAACTGCTGAAGAGTCTGGCAAGACTTGATGAAGAAATAGATTCAGCCAGTTTTAAATGGACAGTTTAACACAGAAAAGGAATGCAGGAAGAAATACAAAAGGAGTCACAGCAGTGATTGCATTGCTCTCATTCAAACATAATGACCTAAAAAAGAAACTTAGCTCACATGTTGCAGTGATTTTTTTAAGCTTCCCTCTCTCAACTTTCAGGCTGCATTTCTTCTCTCCACTTATCTTCTGTCATTTGCCTGTTTTGTTCCCTCTCTCTCTCGTTATCATTTTTTCCCCTTCTGTCCCCGTATCCTTTACTCTACAGGAGAATCCCGTGGGGAGAGGGAATGAATACTGAGGAAGAGCACTTCCCCACTCTGTCCCCACACACTTGCTGTTATCACAAAAATACATGGGGATACGGTGAAGACATCATAAAAAGTGCCTAGGTGGCATTTTTGCCCAGGATGTGTTCTGCAA